GTGATTCTGGGATGTATTAACAGGTGTGTTGCGAGCAAGATACGAGAAGTCATCTTCCGCTCTACTCTGCTCTGGTTAGGCCTCAGCTGGAGTATTGTGTCCAGTTCTGGGCACCGCATTTCAAAAAGATGTGGAGAAATTGGAAAGGGTCCAGAGAAGAGCAACAAGAATGATTAAAGGTCTTGAGAACATGACCTATGAAGGAAGGCTGAAAAATTGGGTTTGTTTAGTTTGGAAAAGAGAAGACTGAGAGGGGACATGATAGCAGTTTTCAGGTATTTAAAAGGGTGTCATAAGGAGGAGGGAGAAAACTTGTTCACCTTAGTCTCTAAGGATAGAACAAGAAGCAATGGGTTTAAACTGCAGCAAGGGAGGTCTAGGTTGGACATTAGGAAAAAGTTCCTAACTGCCAGGGTGGTTAAACACTGGAATAAATTGCCTAGGGAGGTTGTGGAATCTCCATCTCTGGAGATATTTAAGAGTAGGTTAGATAAATGTCTATCAGGGATGGTCTAGACAGTATTTGGTCCTGCCATGTGGGCAGGGGACTGGACTCGGTGACCTCTCGAGGTCCCTTCCAGTCCTAGAATCTATGAATCTATGAATAGGCTAACATCCCTGGCTAAAATAGGAGCAGTGTTTAAACATCTAAGAGTGAGTGATACAGTTTGAAGAGAAGGTCTATCCATAGCTGTGGGTGGACTAGCTCTCTGATAATTCTAATGAATATTACATGAATTGAAACTTCCAACTCCCATCATTTAGAAGTACTCAATTTACTTGACTGTCATGTTACTCTCACAGGCTCAGCAAACAGACCAAATGTTGAGTTGTGACCCATCTCTGTAGGAGCCCTCAGGGAGTAGTTCTCTGTCTGGGTGAGAGCTAGTTTCTAATGAAAGATCACACTTTTGTTTTCACAGCAGCAAATCCCTTGCTGTGCTCTACTGCTCGATTCCACTGTAAGAACGGCCTTTGCATCGATAAAAGCTTTGTATGCGACAGTCAAAATAACTGCCAGGACAACAGTGATGAAGAAAGCTGTGAAAGCCCTCAAGGTAGGCACAGGGTTTTTTGATTGCACTCTGAAGGGTTAAGCAAAGCCTGACTACTGAGGACCAAATTTAGAAGAAAATATGACACTCCTGACTTAGCCAGTGTTGCAAATAACAGTTCTGTCTTTCCCATGCAAATAATCTTATGGTGATGTTTGTTGCAACTCTCCAGTTTGTGTGTGTAGTTCATTATCTGAGCTTTCAAAAGCTTGCAATAGCACATTTCATCCGAGGAGCTCAAAGAGCTTATAAGGCCTGATCCAGTTCACATTGAAGTCAGGAGGAGTCTTTCTACAGTGGGAGCTGGATTGGGCCCAAAGAGAGAAATAAGAGAACCTCCAACTCTCAGCATTCTTTCCATTTCACAGATGGGTAAACCTATCTACACATAACACTATAGACTCTCATTGCACAATCACATTCCATTTTGCAAGACACTTTTCATAGTAGGACATGTTTTTTTTTCCTCACTCTTAAGAAGGCTGAACCTTTTTTGCTCAGACTTTCAAGGGAAAAATAATTCACTTTCAGGTGGAGACCAAGCTTGAAAAATTTCAGGCTAAAAAAGTGAAAGTTTCAAAAAATTATAGCTAGCCGAAAATAGAGAGAGGGGACGTTAGAAGGGAAAACAAGTTATGCAAATGTAACTCTGGTCTGCTGCTCCTGCTGTTCCTGACTCAGATAAAATATTATAGGAAGGTAATGAGACAGTGTGTTCTGGGAGTGTGGTTCTTTTATTATTTGTTCAGTAGTTTGCCACTTGTTTTCGCATTATAGGCTCAATAAACTGTGATCATATGGGCATGTTAGTGTCCAAAGCGGGGACATGGAACTGTTCCCAGCACACAGACTAACTCAGTATGACCTAGGATGCAGCTTTGTGCCTCCTTCCCATCTGTAACATAGGAATGATCATTTTTCCTACCTTGCAGGGTTGTTGAGACCTAATTAATCTGTCCAATCTTGTGACTTCCACTAATATTTTGCACTTCTGCAGTGCCTTCTATGTTTATAATAAAAAAAGCCTTATTAAAACTCCAGTTTTGCATTTTCCTCCTATAAATGTGTATATGGCGTCTATAAAACATGGGGGGGAGGGGGGAACCAAGATGGGAATAACTTAGACAAATACAAAACATCTGAAGTGCTATCTGGTGTGAGAAGGTATGGGGGTATTGCTGCTGGGGAGATCAGGGGAGGGAAGGTTTTGTAAAAGATGGGATGATTTGCAGGAGAAGGAAGTGTGCTTGGCCCACAGAGACTTAGGAGGCTATTCCTACCACAAAGGTGAGTGGCATGCAAGAAGGCAGGGAGTCAATAAAACTGAAATGAGAACAATTTTTTTTAATAGTGGCTGGCAGTATTGATGAGCTGATACTCTAAAGGGAAAAAAAATCCCAAACATAAAAATACCCTTGAGAAATGCGAGAAAAAAAGTGCCACTGTTACTTTCTTATCAGAAGCCAATGTAAGGAAAAAGCACTATTGTAACAATATCACCAAATTTTTTTTAAAGCATGTTTCTTCCCATCTCCCTTTCCTTCTTTACCTACGAAACACTCTTTCCTTTTGTTCAAGACTTGAGCATAAAAAGGGTCACGTTGATACGCCTGGCACAGAGACGGTTCAGTGAGTGGGCAACCTGCAAACACACCTTTGATCAGAGAGAAGCCTGAGAGAGGCCAGTTTAGAATCTTCCTGCTGGACTAGTGAAACATTGTGATCTAATGCTCCTCTTGGAGATGGGAGGAGAAAAGACTTGAGGCATAGTCACTTGGGTGCTGCTTCTGTGATAATGCTGCTGTTAGTTTGCCAAGGGGTGCGTTATTTTTCACTGTAGGCATGGCTTAAATTCTCAGAGATTATTTCCCTGAGTCCCCCATGCCCCCCCCCCATTTGGGGCTTCGGGCTTCAGTTGAGGGGTGGGGGTCTCGGGGCTTCTGCCCTGCAGGGCAGGGAGGGCATTGGGGCTCCTGCGGGTTTGAAAATATTTACCAGCGCTCTGCTCCAGACGGCTACAGCGGACTAATAAGGTTAATTTGTCTGGGGATTATTGTGCCGTTGGAGGTTTAAAGCAGCAGCATTCTTTCCACACTTGGGATGGCTGTTTCCTCTGCAGATTTATTGGCTGGATTGTCTCCAGGTTGTGTGCGTTGTCATGACAATCTGCTTTTGGAAGTGACAGGTTGGACCCAGGAGAAGAAAAGAGCCGTATTTCATGAGGATGTTACTTTGTCTTTATCTTTGCTTCTCTGGAAAAGTCAGATTAAGGGGAGGGTTTAACGAAGTCATTCTGTCTTATTCTGTACACAACTGAGCCCCCATAGAGAGAAATCATACTCTCACTCTACACTGTGATTTCAGTGTGACCAGAATAGCAATTGGAATAGCTTAATGCACTACAGAACAATTAGGTGCTTTCACAATTCCAAAGAGCGATGGAATCAGAACACAGAACTGGAAGTAAGGAATTCCTGAATTCAAATCTTGACTCTGACAGACTTCTGTGGCATTGGACAAATCAGCATAGCTCTATTTCCACATCTGTAAATGATACAATGCTTGCTTACCTGCCTGTCACAGATGTGGAGGTATAAAGTGTGTAATGAGTCAAATAGTCTACGGGAACATAAATGAAGAGTCACTGTCTCCAAATTCACTATTATGTTTACACTAGACTTTAAATTACACTAGACTAGATTAGATTAAATTAATATAAATTCATTAGTTAAAGTACTTAGAACATTTATAAAAACTAGTTTGGGAACTCTCTGCACATTTGCTCTGAAAGTAAAGAACAGATATCTGTAGCCAGGATCAATGGTGCATGGAGTGTCCACACTAGCCTTTACGAAGCGGGAAGTACCTTGATTTAAATGACAAACAGTTACCTTGTGTATATAAAAAAAAATGTAGTGAAGACAAGCCTCAGGGGTGAAATTCATCATTCTGCAAGGGGCCAGCATAAAGCTTATGCATCACTTAAGTAAGTCCCATTTATTTATTTATTTATTTATTTATGTAAAGGATTTAAGGGAGACTTAAGTAGTACATGGAGACTCCTGCTGGCCTTTGTACATTTCAACCTATACATGAGTTTTGTTGCTCATCATGGTACGCCCTTTTTATATACCTAAGTATACTTTTGTGCAGCCATATATACTTCCTTTAAATGAATAGATGATAGACAAGAAATCAGACTATTTTTTGAAGTGCTGGGATTGTAAACTATTTAAGTTTGCCCAGGCTGTAGTATTCATGCATGGAAGATTTAGACTTAACCAGGAGTGTCCAACATGCTCAGGTTTTCTCTACACACGTCTCCTGGTGAGCAATTCTCATGAGTCATTTTGACTCATGTATCAGAGTCATATTTCCTCTGGTAGTCCGTATAAGGGGAATAACCATTTTTCATTTCTAAGGCAGTCCTCTTTCATTGTACAGGAGATCTGATTAGCATGATGTGTATTGTGGAATTGTGCTACAAAAGTATCCTGTAGAAATTTTCTCCCAGTAGCCTTGTCATAATATTGAATGTATTGTGTTGTGAAACTTAATAGCTGTTTGTAAACTGCTTTGAGGTGTTCTGATACAATGTGCTATTGAAGTATGAATGATCATGTTACCTTCCTTTCTGCCTGCTCTTTGGGTATCCTGACACTTAACTCCTCCCCTGAACTTCAAAGTCCAGTCATTGCTGAAAGGATCCAACAGTGTGTCCATTGGACTATCAAATACTCTTCTCCATGATGGAGTAAAGGCCCTTTCATTGGGGGATGTTCACTGTCCGTGAAATGTAACCAACCCCTTAGTGAAGACCTTATTGCTCTAGTACTGGTAGGACTTCAAAATGAACCATCATTGGGAAGTAACAACTTTGTTAGGTCTTTGTATGCAGTTTGAAGTGAACCTAAAGGTATGGGGTTACCAAGTTTTAATTTTCACCTTGATGGTGGGTGGATGTGTGTGAGGGAGAGAGGAGGGGAGGGAGAGAGAAACCCCTAGATTCCATTGTAGAAATAGGACAATGGTTAATTTGCCTTTCTGTAGGCAAGTGTTTTTCCCCCTCTGGAAACGAATGCTGCACATTTATAAGGCTTTCAAATCACGGATGAAGCAGCAGTTTAAAATATCTAAAACATTTTGGTTTAAAAGCAAGTCAAATGATTTTGTACTCATTCATGACAGTAATTATTTGCAGATCTTGTAGCTGCCATGGTAATCTTTAGAGCTGTTCCTTTAATCTCCACCTATTAATGCTTCTCTCTGTGGCTTCTCTGTACATTTTGATACTGTAATAGGCTGGGTGAATCTGTGACCAGGTTACTAGAGGTTCTGGAGTGAAGTATTAGTCCTGATGTGTCTGAATCATAGATGGAATTAGAATGAACATCCAATCAATCTCTCTATAGCTAATGCAGAATTGCTCTTTATAGGATATTATTCTGGTATTTTTTTTCAGTCTAGTTTTAACAATTCTAAGCACTGGGACTCCTTCTATCCCACTGCCAAAAATATGTCACTGTCAGGAAATTTTCTTGGATATTATGCCTAAAGTTTCCTTTTCTTAATTTTCTCCTATTACTCTAAAATCTACCCCATATATCAAACTAATAAATGGTCACCACCATTTATAACATCTGTTCTGTGGACACTCCTGGAGCCTTAACGTTCTACCTGCCTTGCAGGGGATTTTCTGTTTAAACAAAGACTCTTCCCACAGAGTAGGCGGGTTAGTCAGGCTCTAGGTCTGCATGTTCAAATTATGCAATTATTCCCTTCATCAACAATTATTTTCACATGTTCTTCCTTTCTTTGTAACTGCTCAAATGTTTGTATGTTTTTCTTTATGGTATCTTGGCCCTTTCTGAATCAATTTCGTCCTCCTCCATGGACCTCCCTTTTCCCTTGATATGTTTAAAAGCCTTTCTTATTCCATTTAACCCCTTTGGCTAGCACAAACTCATTTTTGCTTTTATGCTGCTCTTATCTCTTCCTGCAAG